TCAAGCGATGCGCACGCCTAGATGTCGATCACACTCTTGCAAGCGTTGCTCACGGTGGCCGCCTCTTCGTGGTCGTCCTCTCCGAGGAGTCCTCCCACGACGTAGCCCGCGTGACGCAAATTGCGAGCGAAGAAATTCAGGTACGCTACGCCTGTTTTGGTGCGGCCATGTACTACCTTCAGACTCACCTTCCCGAACGACATCCACTTCGAGCCCGTGTGGACGGCCCCAGTGCCTGCGCTGAAAGAGAGGCCACCGCCAACCAACCCGAGCGCGTGGACTCTGGATGCTACCCATTTCCCCGTCATGTTGACGCTCATGAAATACGTATCTGCGCAAGCGCCCCCTACCCGCTGGGCATCAGCTTGCACAAGGAGGAGCACTTGAGATGGACGCGCCTTGAAGGGCACATGCAGAAGGACGTGGACGCCAGACTTCATCACGTCGAAGTGCTGGCCGTGCACATTGACCAGGTGCGGGTCGCCAACTGCAGACAATGTTGGTGCCTCTGTGGGTGCTGCCGTTGGTGACGCCGTGGGCACACCCGCTGGCGCCGCTGTGGGAGCCTCCGTCGGAACAGTCGCCAATGGTTCCGTTGGGGCCACTGTCGGTGCACCTGTCGGGGTAGCCGTCGGCCCCGTTCCTGGCGCTGCCGTTGGCGAGGCTGTGGGCACACTTGCTGGTGCCTCTGTGGGAGCCCCCGTCGGAGCAGTCGCAGGCGATGCCGTAGGGATAGCCGTCGGTACACCTGTTGGGGTGGCCGTCGGCCCCGTTCCAGGTGCTGACGTTGGCGACGCCGTGGGCGCACCTGCTGGTGCCGCTGTGGGAGCCTCCGTCGGTGTATCTGTCGGGGTGGCCGTCGGCCCCGTTCCTGGCGCTGCCGTTGGCGAGGCTGTGGGCACACCTATTGGTGCCTCTGTGGGAGCCCCCGTCGGAGCAGTCGCAGGCGATGCCGTAGGGATAGCCGTCGGTACACCTGTTGGGGTGGCCGTCGGCCCCGTTCCAGGCGCTGACGTTGGCGACGCCGTGGGCACCACTGCTGGTGCCGCTGTGGGAGCCTCCGCCGGTGTATCTGTCGGGGTGGCCGTCGGCCCCGTTCCTGGCGCTGCCGTTGGCGAGGCTGTGGGCACACCTGCTGGTGCCTCTGTGGGAGCCCCCGTCGGAGCAGTCAAGGGTGGCTCCGTTGGGGCCACCGTCGGTGTACCTGTCGGGGTAGCCGTCGGCCCCGTTCCTGGCGCTGCCGTTGGCGAGGCTGTGGGCACACCTGCCGGTGCCTCTGTGGGAGCCTCCGTCGGAGCAGTCGTAGGCGATGCCGTAGGGGCAACCGTTGGTGCACCTGTTGGGGAAGCTGTCGGTACACCTGGATTGAAAAAATTACCAGTACCACCTTCGTCTGGTGGAACCGTGGGGATGGGCGTTGGTGACGCCGTCGGAGTGGCCGTCGACTCCGCTGTGGGTGCTGTCGTTGGCGACGCCGTGGTCCCAGCTGTTGGCGTCGCTGTGGGAGCCTCCGTCGGCGCAGTCGTGGGCGATGCTGAAGGCACAACCGTTGGTGCACCTGGCGGGTTGGCCGTCGGCCCCGCTGTGGGTGCTGCCGTCGGGGAACCTGTGGGAGCGGCGGTCGGAGAGAAGGTTGGATGTGCCGTTGGCGAGGTTGTTGGCGCAGCGGTTGGCGCAGGTGTTCGAAAACTGTCGAAGTAATCTTGAGCGCACGTGAAGGACCCTTCTTCAGCGAAGAACTTGGACGTCCCGCCCAGGCCGTAATTACGACCCCACTCATGAAAATGGCCGTCGGGGTAGGGGTCGGAGATTCTGATCCCGATTTCGAACTCGCTCGTGTCTGCGAACTCAGCCATGAAGCAACGCTTCGCTTGGTCCACGGGGTCGGCATCATCTGCTGGACAAGTGATATTGGTTAACTCGTCTGGGCCCAATGGATTGTCACAGCCGTGGCCGAACATGCGCGAGATTGTCATGATCCCAAACTTGCCGCCTGAAGGGATGGTATACTTCTTGGCCTTCCGGCCCGGAACTGATGATTGGATCGTCTCTATCACGTAGGAGGGTAAGGGTAGGGGGCTGTCGCCTGTGGAAGACCCATACTGGAAGAACTCCATGTCAAATTCGATTCCATCTTCGACCGTGTAGACAGCGCTGACGCCGTCGAGCACTATGACTTCGTTTTCACCTTCAATATGATGGTCAATGTCGCAGAAAGTTAACTTTGGCCGAGTGGGGACAACAGGGCAGAAGGTGTGGTTCCTCACAAACTCTGCCCTGAAAACTGCGGCCTCCCCAACAAGAAGGTTGATGTTCGCCATGCCTCCAACAACTCCATTCCAATCGGTGCTTCTCGGGGTATAGGTGGTTACATTGGTGTAGACTAAATCGAAAATGACCCCATCTGGAAGTTGCCCGACTCCATAATATCTGAGCTCCCTGGGCGCCGTGTAGTCAGGACCCAAGCCACCCAGATTAGAGTGAGCCCGATCAGTAAGAAAATCAACCCAATCCTCACAACCTCTCGGGTGGGTGACTACCTCTGTTTCAGGACACTCCTCTGGACACTCGCAGCACATTGACGAGCTGAAGTCATCATCGTCATAGTAAGGGTCCAGACAGATACTGATAAATGGGTTTTCAAGATCGTAAGAGTAGATCGCACATGAGTTTCCGAACCTGTTGGTGGCCCCATTGTCTGTATCAACACATGTTGTTGGTGCTGATAGTGGTGTCGTCGTTGATACATTTGGCGTCCTCCGTGCTTGCGTCGACGCAGACATTGGCGCCACTGTTCTGTTGTTGCGCGAGCCGCGTTGACCATGTCTGCCACGAGAATTTGTTCGTGCCTCGAACGACACTTTTGCTGATGTCTGCACCATGAACACATCTAAACATCCGCCACTTCCACACTCCTGCAACTTTGTGCTGCCTGACATGTTGTCTCCCGCAGCACGCGACATCGAACAATGCTGGAAACATAGCACGAAAGCCACCGCCACCCGTCTTGCGCGGCAGGATACCGCACGATAGTAAGAGGGGCAGCTGTATGTACGAGGATCGGCGAATGCCATTTTAGTAGTGGTAGTAATATAAAGACATGAAAGGGAAGTAGTGGGTTGGTGAGGCTCGTAGAACGCAGCCCGAAGTGCTGCGGCTCGATCCTGATACACGACGGTGTCGCTTCCTGCGTCTTCTGAAGCGTGTGAGGGCACAAGGAACACGACTCTTGATGCCACCCATGCAGATCCCTCCCTCTCCAGAGCGAGCGCTGCACCCGAGAAGCGTCTTGCGCGAGCGGCCGTTGGTCGGAGCGTTCAGCGGCGCGCCAGACGAGCGACGGGGCAGGCGAAGTCGAGCCCGCCCGCCTCCAAAGGACGCCTTGAGGCGGGCTGCGCATTCTTCGTCTTGTGCGCAGCACAGGTGCACCCTCCTCTCTCCGAGCGGCCCCTGGGGGCGCTAGAAAGGTGCTCCACAATTGCAAACGAGACCCCCGCCGAATCGTCAAGCGCCCCCCCACCCGCGGGCGTGGCCCCCAACTGGGATTCCTGCTCTTGGGGCCTCCCGCAGGAACCTCCAGGAATCACACATACTGTCTCGACATGTGTTCATCAATCCTGTAGTTTACATGGCGATCCCCGCAACCAGATTGAAGTCTTCAGGAGTCCGCATGGTTTCTAAGCCGTGGTAAATAACCCTGACGAGGCCCTCCTGAATCCCCCTAAGGCTATCTGTTGCGCTTTTCGCGATGTCCCACGGAATCCCGCAGCTTTCATAAAGCATTCCAGGTGTCCTCTCAGGATCCCGAAGGATCTCCTCAGGACTCCTAAGGGCTTCTTCAGAATTCCAAATGAATTCCCAAGGCGTCCTGAGGATCTCCTCAGGACCCCCGAGGATTCCTCCAGGAATCCTGAAGAAGGAACCTTGACGAATTCCTAGGAGTCCGATGGAATCTGGAGGATTTCTTCGGGAACCCTGAGGTTCTGAGCAATCCGAAGGGCTGTCTTTGGAATCCCAGATAATTCCCACGGCATCCTGTGGCATTTCCCACGGAATCCTCGGGATGTCCCGGGGGTCCTGAGGATCTTTCGGCGAGCGTATGGGATCCCACCGTGCCCACTTCGCGTCGAACTCCGCCCTCCGGTGCCTCGATGCGCCACTCGTCACGGAGCGACCCCCCCAGCGATGCGACGCCGCAGCTTCCCCGCGCGGGTGGTGCCCCCTCGCGCTGCGAGGCGCCGCCCCAGTCGCGCAGCGAGACCGCCCCGAGCAAGACCCCCCCCCCTCAACAGCTGCCTCGCCCCCGCGCGAGGCTCCCGCCCACGCGCGCAGTGGCGAGTCGCGCAGCGAGGTGCCGACCCCGTCGGAGAGCTCGAATCCCCATCACTCGCGGAGCAGGACTCCCGCCGACGCGTCGTCCCCAGCCGCGCAGAAAGGCACCGCCCCGGCCGACCACCGCCGAGCAGTCGCGGAGCGAGACCCCAGTGGACGCGACGCATGCAACTTGCTCTTCGAGGGAGGCTGCGTGGGGGTAGAGTCGGCGGCGAGCCTGGGGGGGAAGTGAGCAGGGGCGGGCCTTCTCAGAAGGCTCGGTCGTCTCCTGGCCTTCTGAGAAGTTTTCGATGTCTGCCCCGACGACGCAGCAAACTTCTCAGAAGGCGCGAGGGCTTCTGAGAAGTCCCGCCGCCTTCTGTGAAGGCCTTCTCCTTCTCATTTCCCGCCCTCGCTCGCCCCTGATAGAGGCGAGGACGGAAATTCTCCCTCGGGCGCACGCGGGCCAGGTCTTGGGGGAGCTCTGGTGCGGGCAACGCGAGCGAGCACTGGAGCATTTTCCCTCCCCCCCGCAATCCTGATCCTTCCATCTTCCCTGGCCTCGGCTGGGGTTTCGGCGGTAGTGGATTCAGAAGGGAAGCCGAGCGGTCATGGGATGAGAAACAGCAGAAATCCGCCGACCACAGCTTGCTGGGGATGAGAATGCGTGTGAGATGATTGCCTGTTCCCCCTCCCCCTTCCCCCTCCCCCAGGGTCCAAAAACCAGTTGAAAGTGGGGGGTGGGGGCTGGGGGTTGGGAGGGGAGGGGTGGAGGGTGGGTATGCGGTCTCCTCGACGCACCCCTGGAGACTACAGAGCTTCCAAATCTGCCTTCCGTGGCCTCGAAGACGTTCCAAGACTGTCCCGAATCGCGAAACGATTGGCCCAAGACGCCTACGAATACTCCATGACGCCCCAGGACGTCGTCGAGACGCTCCGAGCCTTCCCAAGCGGGCCCCGAAAGGCAAAACTCAATGGTATTCCGTGTTTTTTATATTGATTCTGCGGTTATCGTCTTCTCGAGCTTCCGCGGCTCCAAGGCGGCCCACGAGGCCCCATAGACCGCCCCCAAGCTGCCCAAGAGGCCCCTACGAGGGTCCCAGATCGGCCCAAGAGGGTTCCAAGACTGCCCAAAAGAAGGGCCCAAGACGGCCGAAGATCGCCCCAGGGGCCCCCGAGAGAGGCGAAGAGCGAGAACACGAACCAAAAATCCGATCTCTCGGCCCCACGGGGCCCCCCAAGGGCCCCAAGAAGCCCCCAACCGGCCCAAAAGAGGCCCACAAGAAGCTCCAAGCTGCACCCAAGAGGCGCAAAAGAGGCCCCAAGGCGGCCCCCACCACGCTTCAAAACTGCCTCCAAGAGGCTCCGCCAAGCCCCCAAGCAATTCCTAAGAGGCCCACAAAAAACCCCACACAATGCCCAAGAAAGCCGCGACGTCCCAACCGTGAACCCCACGCCTCTTATAGGTGTCGTCGGAATGGCGTAAGCCTCTTGAATAAGCACGATGTTCCTGCTCACTACGCTGTGCGAACGAGTGTGCGTTTGTGTGTGTGTGGGGACTATTCACGTGTATGCACCAGGAATGATGCGTATTGTTTCCGCCCAGGCCAGGGTGGGAGATGGGTTCGGGGTGTAGGGACATCCATGACATGCTAATGTGAACGGGGTTGCGAAACGCATTGCGCACATCACGTGCGTCACATTGATCCACATACCACGTGTGGCACATCTCATGAGCACGTGAATAGTGTCACGGGCCTCGCGGGTAGCTGAGTGCAAGCTCTGCTGCTCAAATTGTCAACGGAACGCCGTTGAAAACCTGGGGCTAAAGCTGCTCTGGAAAGCGCATTCCCAGAGAACTTCGCAGACCCCTTGGGATTTCTCTGTATGTGATATCCCTGCCCTTCCCCAAATCCTTCCCCTAGGACCCCGGTCTGGCCGATTTGGTTGGCTAAGGGTCGGGCCCAGGGGTGCCTGCGGCGCTGGACGTTCAACGTCGTTCAAGCAGCTCCGAGAAGGCTCATAATGGCTCAAGATGGCCTCCAAGACCACGCAACCTGGTAAGACTTGATCTCCCTCCCCCCCAAAGCAATTCAAACTTCACCGGTGGAACTGCCCAGCTGTAGTCTGGGGCCCTGGCTGGATTGCACTGGTGCAGTCTCGAGGACTTCAGAGGGTTGCGCGCGTCAGCGGTGCAGTTTTGCACGCGCCTGGCACGCGAGGGGAGGGGGGGAAGGCCTCTGGCATGCGTCCAAGAAGCTCCCAGACGGCTCGAAGACGGCATGTGGCCACGAAGCTCCCCGAGAACGCCCCCGAGAGGCAAACATTTGCTGTTTTGTACAAAATGCCTTCGGCAACATGTAAGAAGGCCTCACGACGGCTCGTTAACGCCCCGATCCCTTCAGGTCTTGTGTGATTTTGGGATGCTCGTTTTTCCGACCCAGGGCGTCCAAAGCGGCCCAACAGGCCCACAATATCGCGCCACGGTTGCCCCCGAGGTTCCCAAGATGCCCCCAAGACGGACTCACGAGGGGGCCCCCGAACTGACAGGCACAAATCATTGGTGTCTCTTGGCCTTTCGCTGATTTTCGCGCCCTCGCCTTTTTACGCTTCCGATGGCTTCTAAAAACCCAAGGCGGCCCAAGAGGCCGCCCCAGACGGGCCAACATTGCCCGAGAGGGCCCCGAAACGGCCCACAAGGACCGCAAGGCGGCCCAAGAGGCCTACAAAAGACGGCGCGCAAGAGAAGGCCCGATACGAGTGGCCCAAGGAGTGGAGGCCAGAGGTGCCCTGGGAGCCCTTCCCCCTCAGGATCGCCCCCAAGACCCCGACGATTCCCGCAAGAGGCCGCCAAGAGGCCCGCAGGAGGCCTCAAAGGCCCCCCCCCCAGAGGCCTCCAGTACGCACCCAAGAAGCTTCGAAACTGGCTCTAATTAACCTTGCAAAACACCTTCTTCTTTTCCTCCTCCTCCTCCTCCTCCTGCTCCTCCTCCTCCTTCTCCTCCTCCTCCTCCTCCTCCTCCTCACACTCATTCTCCTCCTGTTCCTCCTGCTCCTCCTGCTCCTTCTCCTCCTCCTCCTTCTCCTCCTTCTGCTCCTTCGCCTGCTGCTCCTCCTCCTCCTCCTCCTCCTCCTCCTCCTCCTCCTCCCGCTCCCTCTCGTTGTGCCGAAAGATGCAGCCAACATGCGCAGACTTCGCGCGCTCTGGACGTGCACCTCGCGACGCGGGACGAATCCACGGCCGGACAGCGACGCAGGAACGGGCCGGGGGGCTGGTTCTTGGATGCAGCCTCCCAGACCACATGTGTCACATGTGCTCATCACCCGATGGGATCCAGGGTACATAACCAACGCATAATGTCGGTACTCCACCTTCCCAAATCCACGGCGGGCTGCACAACACCTGCCGACATTATGATCAGTTTGGCCTCGAGGCGGCACAATGAGTCCGCCGACGCCTTGTGGGTCTCTAGGCGTGTGAGATAGTTCCCCCCCCTACCCCCCCCCCGGGACCCCAAACCGGAGATTTGACCCCCCCCCCCGGCCCGGCGCGAGCGCACCACGAGGCTTCTCCGGACCCAAGAGGGCGTCAAGACGGGGCAAGAAGGCCCCAAGAGGCCTCCAAGACGGCCCACGAGGGCCCCGAGACGCCACACATGTGCTCCAAGACGCCCAAGATGGCCCCGAGATTGGCCAAGAGGCCTCCAAGACGGCCCAAGAGGTCCCAAACAAGCCTTCCAAGAGGGCCCCAAGAGGCTAAATTTGTTGATTTTCCATTGTGTTTTTCTGTGTTTTTTGCCTTTTGGCCTGTCCGGCTTCCCGACGCTCCAACACAGCCCAAGAAACCCCGATGAC